CAACAAGCCCTCTCAATTCCTCCTCACCTCAAGCCCTCAACGACCCTAGCCCCTCAAATAGCCCCTCAACCACAGACCCCCAACCCCAGCCCCCCAAAACCACCCACCCCCCGCCGCACCCGACAAAACCCAAACCATTACAGCAAAAAACAAAACCCCCCAAAACTCGACAAAACTCCGGACACAAACCCTATACAATCTCTATTAAACCCCAAAACCCTAAACCGTAAAATCCTTAAACCCTGAACCCAGGGTCCCAAAAATTTCCGGAATTTTCAAAGGGCACCCACGTCATCATTGTTGTATTCGAACCTTAAATCCAACCCGGAAAGCCTAAACCTCAATTCGGGTGATTCCGAAAATTCCTAGAAGTTTCAGATCCGGGTGATTCCCAAAATTCCCAGGATTTGTAGACAATAAGCGTAAAATTTCCGGGACTTTTCCGGATCCCCCTGCAAGGCCCTCCCAAGCAGCCAAATTGACCGGAAAAGGAAGCGAGACAACCGACAAGGCGGCCGCAGAGGACGAAAATAGGGGTGGAGCCCGTAGCCTTTTATAGGGATATTCTGTGGTCGATATAGTGTTGCCTAAATTCTTTCATGCAATCCCCCAAAGAATAAGTATTCATCCAAGAATTCAAAGAATCAAATAATCCTTTATCAAATCATTTTGAATAGTATCCTATCAAAAATTGATCCCATATTCCAAGAAGAAGGACTCAATATACGAAGTTAAGCAAAAAATAAAGGTTCGAAAAGAGATTTGTTATACAAAACCATTTAGAAAAAATCATCCAAGTTAAATAATATTTCGTAATAGAAAATCTTTTTCTCTATCGTATCCTCCTATAATTCGTTTATCCTACGCGAAAGTAAGTAGTAGTAAGCCAATCCGCGTTTTGGTGTGAATTCCGAGTGGTTCAATTTCCGAGCGATTCAATTGGCTTCCAAACCAGAAAAATAGCCAGCAACCAAGTGCAAAGGAGATCGGTCATGGATCTGTTCCACATTTTCTCTGTTCAAGCTACCTCTGTGGCAGTGGAGAAAAATTATGATGTGGGTCATCAGACAATGGCTCTGGCTTTATGAAGCCAAAGCTCTTCTTCTCATGTCTTGCACTGGTTCTTATATATTATGCGGTCGTTTTAAACCATTCTTGCGCCGCATGAAAACTGTGCATTTCAACCGTCCAACTTTCAAACGGAGCCACGACAGAGAAAGCTGTCTCGAGATACTTCAGAAGCGAAACTCGAGCATAACATTCTTGTGTGCATCGTCGGAGGTGGGTTCGTCGGAAGTCGGCTCGATCGGGCTGACTTCTTCGATCGGGCTCACTTCTGTGATTTTCGGCGGGGCTGGTGGTTCCCCGACACCTTTCGGTGTTTGTATGGACTCCAGCTCTGAAATCGAGAAGAGTATCGTGAAGATGATCCAGGTCACGGTGAAGATGACGACGGCCAAGGATAGAATGGCCGTCAGTGAGGATGATGGCCGGAAGTCCCAGCCTAAAACCTCAGCATCCTCAACTTCAGATGAGAGGATCAGCAGCCCAAAGACCAAATTCACAGGAACACTCCGCTCTCGCGTTTCAAGTGAAACTGCCAGTGCCCGCTTGACTAGGAGTCAGTAGCGGCGTGTACGCACTACGCTCGGGCTTGCTTGCTGTTGCGGTGATCCTGGACCTACAGGTTAGTAACTTGGCAAATTCGGCTTGCTCCTGCAAAACTCCAGCTGTGCATGCTGCGCAGAGATTTCCACTGGTGATGTGAAGGCCCCCGATCGTGCGTGCATGCCCATCGTCGCGAAGCTTGAGTGTACAAAGTGGGTCGTGAAACGCACATGCGCAAAGCCAAGACGAATGCACGCACCGCCATGCTTCAAACCAGAATGCGACTCGCTTGCCCGATGTTTTTGCAGCCTTGTCCACTTTGGGACGGTGGCATCAAGTCACATTGACACGGGCACTGAGGCAGCTTATCCCAACTGAGCAGTTTTGAAGATTCAGCTATGTGCACAACTGCTAGGGGTCTTGCTCGGCTGGCCTGGCTCAGTGCAACCTACTAAATTAGCAGGGCGGTTGGCCTCACAACCTGGCGGTGCACAAACTGGGCTAAGTATTCGATACAGTGAAAACTTTGGTTGCTGTGAGATGTCTATCTCATTCCTTGCCCACGCAAATGCGCACGGCGTTTGGATTCTGGATATTCCACTGAGGCCTTAGACAGTCACAAAAGGCAGCCGGTGCGCCTGTTGGACTTGACCAGCTTCAGCGTTTCCTGAAGTCACCAAGCATGTGTGCAAAACACTTGGTGTCGGCGTATGAAAACAAGAGCAGCAAACAGCCCCCTGACCCTCTGAGGCAACCTTGGATACCAATCTCTGAGCCACGATCCAGGATCGTGTCGAAGCCTGGACGCCCGCTGGAACCTCAGGTTCAGGACTTGCAAACGATTGCACAACATGCCGAACATGTGACATGTTTTGTTTCTTTTCCGAGTTGTATCCTGCATATGGAGCCAGTTTATCCTCAAGATCTCTCGTTCACTGTAGGTGTTTCACCTCTCTATATTGACCCGTCTATTTGGTTGTGATGTTGAAGATTCTCTAGCGACCTGCCGTGCGACCTTTGCAGTCCTCTTCGTGGACGGGCTGTTGTGCACTTAGCTCTTTCGTAGAAGCTTTCGTGCGTTAGCGCACCTGAAATCCGAATATGCCACTCACTTGGGGAGGCGCCACTGTGGCCAACAAGTCGCGGCTGATCAGCCCGGAGGCAAATTTTTTTTCTGGGCCAGTGCTACAGTTCCAAAGGAGCGTGGCAGTGATATGCGGTGATTGTCTTGAGGTTCACCTCTACATTGTCCTTCGAGCGAAGCCGAGCGGCAAAAGGGTGCTAAGAATTTCGTTGATGGAACTTGTTTCTCTTTGCCAAGTCTACGACACAGAATTCCGAGCAACGAGGGTCGAGGATTAAGGCCCTGTCGAAGACGGCTCTTCTGGAGGTTACCTAGAGTCCGGTGGCCCGGCCTTTTTACCTCTTCTTCTGCGCGCTTCTAGCAAATGCAGGCTCTTAGATCTTTTAGGGCTGGCTGAGGCCAGGGTCTCTGAGACGCCAGCGGTGTGCCCAGCAGCACTTCATTGTAAAGCGCAGGTCGGCGGGAGTATCCTTCCGGATTTCTGAGGAGCGTTCCTAAACCCAAAACCTTTATGAAATCCTCAAAACCTCAAAACCTCCTATACCATCCCCGACGGAGGACACCGGGGCCGATGCCTCCTTTGGAATTGGATCACCGGAAATCAGCGCATGATTTCTTTTAGGTGGTAAAGAACTTCCCTGAAACCTGATAAGCTGGCATTTCCGTCCTTTTAGGCGTTCTGGCTTGCACGTAAGGCAACCTACTCTTTCGGAAAGTCCATTTTCCATCCTGTACTCCATGGGAAGCTGCCTCTTTTCTGGTTTGTGGTCGTTCATGCAGTTGCCTGTGCTTGAGTAGGAAGAATGTATACTGTATAGGAATATGCACTTTGCATACGAGCAAAGCACCGCAGAGCAACCTATCTGCCTTTTGAGCTTTACTTTTTCAGCGATTCAACTTGCGGGTGGGGACGCAATCAGCAACACCCTTTCGCGAGACATTGCCCCTGTCACAGCTGTGACCGGATGGAAACCCGATGCCCCTCCCTCCTCTGGAATGAACGCCACGTCCGGCCGCTTTCCCCTGCTGACGGCCACTGCGATGGAGACGGGCTCCAGGCCTGGCAATGGATGGCCGAAATGGGCCGACATGGGCGCAATGGCTTTAACTGTTGAACTTGTCAATGCTTGGCCGGCAATATCTCGGAATGCCAAAATCAACGGGCCTGACCCTTCATAGGGAATGCGCCGGGTGATGAGCTCAAACAGGCAAATGCCATACGAGTAGACATCGACCTGGGGCATCAGGATGCTCTTGTGACAATCACTGGCATCATGAATCTGAAGGAAAGATTTGTGGTCGTGAAGGCGAAAAGCAAACCCCAGGAACGCTGATGGCGAGCTCCGGGTCCCCTGCTTTTTCGTCGTAGCCTTGGCCAGACAGCACCTCCAGATCCATGGGTCACTTTTGGCGCAGCCCCTTTTTAGGGACTTGAGGCCTGGGTGGACTAATCTCCCCTGACCAGAAAGCGACATCCACGATACTTGCAAGCCTAATACGTGCCCGATTCAGGGACACTGGAACCAAAGTTCGTTTGAAAACCCCTGAAAGATCTCATGACGTTCACCTCGGGTGCCATCCAGTGGTAGGTCCCGGCCCCGTTGGTCATCATGACCTGACTTGCTCTTACTTGATTGCTTTTTTTGCGGCTTTGGCAACAACTTTCCGAGCTCCAGCAGTGCTATCGATGCAAGTTCATCCTATTCGCCCTGCCTGTGTCGCGTCGGGGCGAAAAGCACGGGACAGACCGAAGTCGGACACCTGGCCGACATGCCCCTAAAGACATGAAGAACTGACGTGGTGCTGAGGGCAGCGCCAGAGTGCTACATGTAGAGTTCGCAACGGTTTTTTGGGACATCATGGTGGGGGGGGCTTCTGACACCATTTCCGTTCTGCGAGACGTTCCTGTAGCGGTTTGACATACCCTGAGAGTGACAGGGCATGAGGCAGTCAAAGGCAGTGCCTTCACGGCGGGAACATCATCGACTCCGCGGATCGGGCACGCCAGGAGCAGGTTGAGAGACTTCAGATCCCTGTGGACGACCTGTTTGCAATCGAGGCGTCTATAAGGTAAACCAAAACCATCTTCAAACTGTTTCTAAGTGTGCCTTGACTTCAGGTCGCTGGGAGTTGTGAGATGTGAAACATTTGAATGTGAAACCTTGTGGTAGATGAGAGTTGGGTTCATGCTAATCAGCTCAAACTAAAGCTGGAACCCCGCTAAACCCTAAAACCCTTGGAGAGAAGGTGCCACCCCTTGGGGGCCTGCCGCCGATGGAGGAAGTTCATCCCCTGACACTTTGGCGAGAGGTTCGGCATGAACAGCTTATGGGATTTTGGGATCTACATGCCCTTGCTGCAACCTTATTCCTTCAGCTCTAGGCTTCCCTCACTCAAAGGTACTGTGAACATAGCACATTAGCTGCGCATCCCCTAATCAAGCGGCTGGATTCTTTGCGGACTGTGCAAGCCCGTGCGGACTCAAATTACATGTCTCTACTTTACGTGCCTTCGCCACATCGAGGGCGATGGGGAGCCGCTGGGGCCAAGGGAGGGACAACTCCCGCCGCTGATGGAGCAGGGCCTCAAATTGGCCAAGAAACCAGGGGTCAACTGGGTCAACCAGGGGTCTCCCCTCCCCCACCTCCTGAAGCGACGTTCCCATGGCACTACGATTGCCTTCCGGGACATCTGAGCTCTGAGGCCCAGTCGAAGACGGTCCCACCCGAGCAGAACTCTGAAATGATTAATGCTTGAGGAGCCTGGCTCGGAACACGTGGGCAGATGAACAAGTTGAGTGTAGGAGTGTAGGATTGAGAAGGACTCGTGTCTTGCTCCGCAATGTCTGAAGTGCCGTCCATGACATCAGCTCTCGTACGTCGTAGCATACAAGCTTGGCATGCTCCCAAGCTGGAAACCCAACATCCGCGCCTTTGTACAGGCACCCATGAAGAGCACCAAATTCGGGTGTCGCCTGCAGCTTGGAATATGTAGGCAGAGTTGCTCTTCTTTGGATTTTGGGAAGTTCAGGACTTGAAGCCTTTCTGCGAGTTGGAGTAGGGGCGTTTGCTTTGCTGGTCGGTCACCTTTGTGTGGTCAGTCTGCTTAGAACTTTGCTGTGGGATGCCCCGAAAACTGCAGTCGAACCTCAGACCCCATGCTACGCTGTTTTTGATGTTGCGGAAACCCTTGTGCTCGCAAGAGCATGACATAGACTAGACTCATACCGTGTCTCGCCCGCCATGCTACAGCACTTGCACGATCCCTGCTGGCATCATGACGTCCATGAACCTCAGGAGTCTCAAGGCCCAGGCAAGCGGAGTAGCACTGAGATCTCACGCTTGAATTCGGTTGAAAGTTGGCCTGGGACGAGGCACAATATATTATACTGCAGCGATAAGGAACGACTTGTTTCAAGGTTGAACGGGGCTGCACGCGAAAGTCTGCTGGCTCACTACACGCATTTAGCGTCAACTTTGTACACCAGACAGACTTACTGTGCCACTCTCTGTGCCCAGCATGCGGTGTCACTGCACATCGACACAATAACCTGTGTGGTTGGACACATGCGCGACTTCCTGCCTTTGGAGCGTAGCTTCTTTGCTGCCACATCTGTTCCGTGCCAGGTGGCCCGGTACACCTGCGCCACATTGTCCGGATCAACGGGGCTACGTCAATCCAAAGGTCTATGCGCAGAGCTTCCATGCGCGTGGGTTTTTGACAAGCTCTAGTTGTACTTTGCTTCCGCTGATATAAATCGTAGACAAGGGTTTTAGGACGGCCCTGTATGCAGGTCGCCCTTCTCAGCCTTTTCTAGTCAGATCAGCGTCCCGTATGTAGACTATCACTTGGGTGCCGATGCCCCAAAACCTGTGACGATGTTGCTCCAAAATCGGGAAATGATCCCTGTGAATGCTCCAGCCCCTGATATTCAATACTTCACATCCTGCTAACCGAGCCCATGCGGTTGCAACCACACACCATGTTTTAACCATTTTTCCCAGTTGGCAAGAACTCATCCGAGGCGTATCTTAAAATCCGAAAACATGACAAGTTAGCCAAACCAGACGATATCGAGACGTATCCTCCAAACAGTGTGCCAACAGTATGCAGTTCCAACGTTAGGAGCACAGCGGCTTAGCTCGCCATGCGCTCTCGCGAGCGCACGCCCGCTTGCCCGGGATGTTGGCTTTCTCTCGAGGCATCTGCTCGCGTATGTCATGTGTTGGACGAAAGTCGTTCGCCCAGGTCCCGTGCACGTGCACGTTCCGAAGTCGAAATCGTGCTCCGGCCTACAGCAGCTGGAGTGAACACAAATTCGGGCTCCGAATATTTCTTGAGCCATGTCGTTGTGCAGTGTATCTCGTTTGAGGCTGGCCTGTCCCTCCTACAAGTTACACACTCTCATATCAGCAATACACACAAAGCCTTCATACAGTATCCTTCAAGAATGCAGAATGCAGACCTGCTGTCAGCCTGACTGAAGTTGGCAACTCACGCACCAAATTGGTGGGCAAACCCCTCCCGCCTCGGCTGTGCTACCGGTGCCGATCCGCTCCTCCAGGCGAACCTCCTTGGAGAGGGCTTGAACCGCGGAGACACACTTGGCAGATCGACTGGCTGCATCTGCAAACCTGAAGAGATCCCCTGAATTCCAGCAAGGAGCCGATTGGTCCACCTGCCACAGAGAATCTCAGAAGCAACGATGAAGGGAGTTGCCGTCATTGCTGTATTGGTGCACTTAACCGACTTAACCTGGCTAGGGCAGCTAGGACATTAACGACCAACCGTCCTTGGTGCTTCGCACATTGCAGTTTCCGAGTCTGGGCCACAATGACTGAATCAAGACATGCCTGAAGCAAACTGGCGCCTATCCTTGCCACGCAACCCGGTGGAACATTCTGCTGACACAGCCAAAGCCTACAACAGGGCCCGCCTGATGACTATTATGGTCATAGTAGTTATAGCAAACTTGTTTGGGACTTATAGAGTGGCTTTACAAGTCCACTGAGTCCACTTATAAGTAGGATCAGGTTTTGGTATGGCAAACAGCAGGCAACAGGACATGCAGCAGGGCAGGTGGTAGTAGTGTGGTTCACAACGAGAGGTTTTTTCAAGGGCAGGTGGCAGCAGCGTGGCACAAGTAAATTGGGTTCTCTGACATAGCCCCCCCCCCCCCCCCGCGCGGACATTCGCGGGGCCTTCGGTGAGATGAGACGACCTTTAATCTTCCCGCATACCTACGCGGACATGCGGATATTCCAAACCGCGTCGCTGCGGACCAGGGCCCTGCGGACAAATCGCTCTGCACTGAAAAACTGCATGCTCATCCAGAAGACATGCCACAAACCTCAGTCGATAGCGACTGCAGCCCCAGACGACAACAGGCGCTCGGCAACACAGCCCGCACCCGCTTGAGGAGCGAAAAATCTGCCGACGCTCCCGGGTTCCAAAGCAGAAATTTTGAAGACATTGCAAGAAACAACTTCTAAACATTGATTTTCACAAGTAAGAGATATGTCCAGGATAACCAGGCCAAGTTGTCTTAAGTTTCGGGGCACAACTCCCTAGCTACACAATATAGTTTGTGAGAACTTATTGAATTTAACTCTGTGCTTGAGGTATTCTAACCCTATGTTATAGATGTTGTATGCCATTACTGGACGGGCCCTGTTGTGCTTGAAAATTCATGAAGCCCATGAGTCTACCGAGTCTACCTAGGATGCCAAAGGCCTCCCACTCAGCGACGCACGGTGGATTCGACAGATCCTGTGGTTTTTCTGGAAGAGGCATGGCTTGAAGCCCCGATGTTCCAGCCACTTAGTATCCTAGCTCATCCTACATCGAGAAAACGGTCCTGCCGTGGGATTGGTGTGGGTGTGGGTGCCGGCACTGGTGTTGGAACCTTCAATGCGATGGCAGGGAGATACTCATGAAGGCCAGCAAAAGACAAGGACACACTAAGCGTGATGAGGATCACATCAGCTAGCTGCTAGTCAAGACTTGACGCTTGACTGGACCAACGCAAATCGTGAACAGCATGCAACTAATCAAGTCCTGGGCTCATCTAAGGTGAGCTTGGTTCGAAGCTGCGGAGGCACGTCTTCATGTTTGGGTGTACATTGGCACCACCCTGATGCATTCTTTGTATCCCTGCACCCAGCTGCCTGTGCGGAAGGCGGCTCGCCAACACCTGAAGCGTTCAGCATGGATAAACATATACACATACAAGCAGCTATGTATAAGACATGTATATAGATATACATCCACAGATACATGAAGATAATAGATCGGGATGCAGGATAGGCGGGGCTGTCGATGAGGTCGCAGAGTTGGCTCTCACTGCTGGGGAACCCGGGGAGATGAGTTTTTGCAGCAACTGCTGGAGTTGCTGGAGCTCTTGTATTCATGCCCGCCAAGGGCATTCCTGGCCTATCGAGCTGAGATCAGGACTTGCACGTGGCCGTGCCTGCTCCAAAGTCGCACTGACAGGGCTGCTTAGTGGCTTTGGCTGCACAGGCCTGTGCGTTGCAAACAGTCCTCATCGTACATGATGACGAAGCCAACCCAAATTACCAGTCTCTCCGCTTGCAAATGTGCCTTGTCCCCTGAAAGATCACCCTCACACATGCACGATCCCTGGAGTCTAGGCCCTAGAGAGACCTTCGAACCTTCAGTCGATGCGCCAGGTACCCAAGTTCTGGTGAGATTGTCCTTCCCATGCTCAGACATCCCATTTTCGTCTCTGTTGGAGTGCCGGATACTCATCAGAGAGAAACGATGTGCAATCGCATGCTAGCGCTGAAAACTGATGCTCCTGTTGCGAATGTGGCACCACAAGGATCTGTCACAGCGCTGCATGCAACTCCACTCTTGGTATCTACGTCTGCATCACAGTTGAGAAAAAAAGCCATCCTACAGCTGTTGTGCTTGCGACCGCCAGTTGAAATCAGCGTCTCAGCACGTCTCAGGTGCGATTTGTCAAGGCTTGTACCACCTGAGCTGCGGCGTCCAAAGTCCAACGGCCACAGTCCAACGGTTGCGTGCGCCACTGTGTTTTGGGCGAACCGGTGGCGAGATGTGGCGAGAGGTGTCGTGCGCTCGAGTCGCCAGAGTTGGAGTGTCTGGAAACCAACTAGACGCTGATAACATGTTTATATGTATATGTAGAGGTATATGTATATGTATATATATATATATATGTATATATATATCTATTTATGAATTTATACATAATAATTGTAGGTGTATATATATATACACACATATACATGATCGCCTTTTCGGCAACCCTTGTAGTCAGGTGTCGTTCCTCAGCTCTGTGCCAAACCGGCCGACACGTTGGTCACGTTGGCGGCCGGCGTGCCCGTGGGGGCCTTGATGTTTAAGAAATCTTAAACTGACAAGGCGCTTCTGACAGACTGGGCAGCGCTCTCTGTTTCATGGGTCTCCTTCCGGTGTGCCTTCTCAAGGTTTTGACACACTGCAGAGCATTCTCGGCCCGCACCTGGCGGGGCGTCATCTTGGTGAAGTTGTGCCGGCCTCGGTCACAATTCTCGGAGCCCCCGCATTCTTGACATGCATGCAGAATTATTTCGGTGGTACTACAGTGGAGCTGTGTCTGTCAAGGTTCGGTATGATCTCTGCACTTGTGATCCGCCCCTTACCCCCCTTCCCCGTGAAGGCCCCCCTTCCCCGTATTTCCCCGTAAGTTCCAAGAGGTGCAAATGCAGACCCCACTTTGGTTACGCAGCAAAATCATCTGTCTGCACATTGTCTTCGGTGACGAAAGCTCCAACTATCATGCAAGTATGTGTACTGGATGCATGTATGCATGCGTGCATGTCGAACCCCAAACATGCAGCAAGCCAAAGCCAAGTCTGAAGTTCGAGGAGAAAGTTCCAGACCGTTCAGACCCGTCAGAAAGAAAAAGACTCAAGTACACGCACCTGTACATGTGTTTGTGCGTCACCTGAGCCTCCAGTCTTCGCTTCACATGCATCAACTGAAAGGGTTGTTAGTGCTATCACGGGTGTCGAAGGATAGGACGGCGGGAACTGAGAAGCTCTTGAATATCAAATGCCACATGGAATGATCATGGACCTCTTGTCCGACCGAAGCACGTTTCTTTCGTGGGACTCGATGTTTCACAGTAGGAGCTGGCGTAGCTTGGTGCCTTAGCCCATTTGACAGCAACAAAAGCCGACAGCAGATTGAACGCCCCTTCTAAACTTTTGTTAACCTGGGTACCCTTTGCAATACGCCTGCATGGCATCAGTAGCCAGACAAATCTCGTTGAAACTAGACTTGCCGACGCTGACCCACCTGGTCCAGACATCTCTGCAAGATCGTGTCAAGTCTAACGGGTGCTTTAAACCCACGTAATCCCGCAACACGATACTACTGAAACAGAAAGTCAGCAGCCGCCATGACGCCACATGTCTCCATTGGCTTGCCAGGTCTATTCAGACAAGATGCGCAGTGGAATGTGTCTGCGCGTGATGCCCTGCAGGGGCAGCAGCTGACATTCACATGTGCGGCTTCCCAGGTAGATAGAGAGCTAGTAGGGAGACCTCCTCTGACAATGCTTGAACGACGTGTGGGCCAGAGTACGCTGCCGGGTGCAGCGAAGATTGTGGCAGTGGCATTCAGTGGCAGGTCTGCTGTGTGTGCAGTTCACTGTAGCGCTGTATCACCGACAGCTGAAGGCCGAAAGCCTCGAGGACTTCGGCTTCGGTTTGCTTTGATCGGGACATCGATCGCGGCCTTCAGGTGCCAAGAGAAGAAACATAAAGGACGCAAGGCAACAAGACCCTACCGGGTGAGATGCGCATCAAAACCTGCTAGACCCCTAAACTTTACTAAACGTCAGCTATCTGAACTCAAGGCGATTCAAGGCGGCTTCTCCTTGACTGGCCAGTCCGGGCCTGCGAGTTGGACAGCTGTAGCTCTGGTCCTGCGATCTCTTCGGCCTCGGTGGATATTGTACTGTCCAATCAAACTTTGGAGGAGTATAGCTGAATAAAGCCCAAGCAGAGTATGACAAAGGAAAAGCTGCGCTTGTTTAAAGATCACAGGGGCCACGATGGATGGCATCGCCATCCACTTGTCCTGGTTGGTGTGTGCGTGGGTGTGTGTGTGCGTTGTGTGTGTGTGTGTGTTTGGTCTGGTCTGGTCTGGTCTGGCCTGTCTGCATCTGTCTCTTAAGATTCTCATGGGGGTGGCCTTCTTTGATTCGTTCAGTGTTTACTGGGAAACCTACTTCCTCCAACTTGTTGATGTTGCGCCCTTTACTTCCTCGAATCCTCCATTTCGGATAGTCTGTGATTTGTATCGGAACCCCTCTAAGCACTCAAGACTTCAATAGGCCAACACCTTCCTTTTCCTGTTCTAGCCAGAAAGCCTCCAAAGTCGTTCCCATGTGCCTGTGCTCTCACTCTCGCACCCTGCCTGTCTTTCTCCAAAGTTTGCACCATCGCTTTGCAGCCCCCAGCCCCTTCTCTTATGGTTTGAAGTTCCCCCCCCCCCCCCTATGCAACATGTTGCACTGGCACGTACTGACTTCGTAGGGTTGATGCAAAAATGGATTTGGCTTGGCTTTGCTTTGGCTTTGGTGGTCGTACGAGTAAGTAGTCGTTGCGATGGTGGTGGACCGAAGGACCAAAGGAACCAAATGGGCAAAGAGTTGAAACACAAATGCCCATCATGCTCACGGGATCACACGCGTCATCAACGCAAATCTGCCCAAGTTCCTGATTTGCTGTGGCCAGAATCCGAATGACTGAGATGGGGCCGTCAGCAAGCACCTTCGCTTCTTGAAGTTCACGAACGCCATTGTGGGGCTCTAAGCTGGGGCTCGAAGGACATGGCAAATGTTTAATTGCGCCAC